TTCAATTAGTAATAAAAAAACAACTGAAAACATCAGATCCATATTAAATATTATTTCGATTTATTACATAATCATGTTGACGAAGAATATCTTCATGTTGATTGTGATTTCTCTCCATCCCTTGAATGATGAATCTGAGGTTCATCTTAGATCCTGCCATCTCTCACTTCCAAAGTTGTTAGAAAACTTTCGAAATACAGTCAGCTCCCAAGTAGATATGCTCATCAATATAAATTACACAACATGCTCCTAATATATCTATTGGCTGTAGGAAGCAAAAACTTCATTTTAAAAACTTCTACTTTTTCAAAAGTATCGATTTTGTAGTAAGGCTCATATTTTGAAGATGAAATGATGAAACGAAATACTCTTTTCACCAATCGATAGTTCATGAAGTTCACTACAGAAATACTTTATAAAGTTTTTGAATTCAATTCTTTCTTAAGGTTTTACAATTGATTCACAAATGTCTACACCAGTGAACTTTCGGAAGTAAATGGTTAATTATTATATAGATTATTGTGCATTTGATAATTGTTTATTAATAAATAGTACCACCAGATAATATAATATAATTTCTTTATATTGAACATCTTTTAAACTTTTTAAAAGTATCGACTTTAAGAAAGTTAAATCTTTTCAAAAGTATCGACTTTAAGAAAGTTAAATCTTTTCTAAAAATAAAGCTTTTCTATTTTTTGCAAGGAACATATGTACTTTCTATTTTCTATATAATTGAAGCATGTTTATAAATATCATAATTAGCTATACTACTGTTGTTGCTAATTTTCTTTTCATGGGTTTTTATCGCTGAAAAATTAACAATTGTTAAAATATAGTAAAATCCATCTTATATTACGTATGGTATTGGAACTGTTTGAAAACCATTTATCATCAAACTATATGACAGTGTCCACTCTAGAAAGGTTCATGTTAAGCAAAAACTGATAGTTGAGATAATTTCAAAAAAGTTCTCCTATATAAAAGTTTCTATTATACAATAGTGTCTACTTATGTTAAAGTTTTCCTGTATACATTTGTCTACAAGTAAATTCTTCTTTATTCATTTTGGAATTATTTCAATCTATCGTTGCGATTAATTAATTATTTTTTTATCATTTATATTCAAATTTAGTTCATTTGATTTGTTCACACATTTTTATACGACCGTCTTTTCGTGATTTTAGTTGAAGAAACTTCATTGTTGTATGTTTTTTATATTTTCAATTTGAATTATGAAAACAATTTTCGATTAATTTATATTGTGTTCTAAAGATCGAAGCCGTATTGAGTAAGTGAATAATTTGATCTGATTCGATTCTTCTGAGCCGATTCGAATTGAGTACAACTGACAACGAATGTTGTTAAGTCCAATCGAATCGAATGGAGGTTCATTTTTTCATTTGTTTTTCTTTTGATTCGATCATAAAATTAATAAAAAGAAAAAACGAGAAAAAGAAACGATGAAAAACAGAAATCAAAACATCTTTTTTCACAGTTTAACTAGTGTGGGCCAAATACAAATCATTTGGTGTTTTCTACTTAAAAACTATAAAATAAAATAAAATATTAATTATCATCTCCAAATATTTTTCTAAACGAAAGTCCTCATTATCTTATTTGGACAATGATTGAGTAATATTTGAGTGCGATCTAACAAAAAAAAAAACAAATAGATCACATGATAATCATTGAATAGGAAAACTATTTGAAAAGTTCGAAATCAAACAATAATTGTTTAAACTTTCAGCTGTAAATTTTTACTTGACACTTATTCAACTTATATTATAATGTTACATGAAACTGATCATTGCCTGAGATGATTTATAAATATATATAGAAGAAAAGAATACATAGTTTCATAATTATGATCATATCCATCTCACTGTTCTAAAGAAATTTGCTAATTTTGAATGTGTAATCAAATGACAAAGACACATTAGAATTTAGTTATTCTTTGATAAGTTGAAATCTAAAGATATCATTGGATATATATATATATATATTGATAAGAAAAAGAATATTTTCCTGTTTTTTTCCTTTTTAACCTAAATAAAACTTTGTGAAAATGATTAAAAAAAAATAATTAAATTTTTCATCACTTGATTTAACCTAACTAAAATAAAATATTTTTCATGGCTTATCTGCAAAGCATTCAAATGTGTATTCAACATATCTCCATATTTCTTTAAATCATTTTTTATACAATCGTGTTGCATCATTTTTGTGTACTCAAAAAGTGAGTACACTCGAATCTGCCGGTGTGTCCGGCCGGCCGTCCGTGTACATGATAACGTGTGAAAGAATAGTCCGATTGTCTTGAAATTTTCTACACAGCATTATCCCATGAATATCTCGGTCGAGTTCGAAGATGGGCATGATTCGTCAAGGATTTACTGATTTTCAGCAGGAACTACCGTTATTTCCTATAGTTTTGATAGAAATATTGATCCATTTCAATTTTCGTAAACCACAATTTCACATGTAGTTAAAACGAAACCTCGACTATTATATACCGTTCGATAGAGAATTTCATGGGCTACAAAATGATACTAAATTATGGAGATAAATACATTGCGTTGAAAAATTCCTCCCTACCACACTTTTCAAACACTGAAAAATTCATACATTTTGACACTATGCCTGAGTGATATGTGCTTATTTCCCATGGAATCGACATAATTTTTCCAGAATTGATAGAACTCATTAGAGGCTACAAAATGATACTAAATTCTAGGGATAATTATGCTGCGTTTGCAATTTTCTCCTTGCCATACTTTCAAAAAGAATTGGAAAACTCATATATGTTGAGAATTCTCTGCGTGGCACGGGTTTATCTCTCAGAGAGTAAAAATAATTTTTTTCGAGCAGATTAAACTTGTCAATACCTATAAAACGATAGTATACTACACGATGAAATATCCTGCGTTAACAACTTCCGCAACATTGCTGTCAACCTTCACTCTCAATACCCCTTCTCTCGATTCCCTCCCTCGCAATACCCCTACTCCCAGTACCCTCACTCTCAACCATTGATTGAAAAGACAAAAAAATAAATCAAAGCAAGCACGAACGCAAGTGCTATGGCCAATTTCAAAGCTTGAGAGTGTGATTGATTCTGTTTTTGAGCAAATAAAAAACAAAATGAATATCCCTTTTCGCTTTTTGAAGTACACATAACACTCGGATTTAAATCCGAGATTTTCGCATTTATTAACATTGAATAATGATTGTTCTACATACTTTCTCCGTAGTCAATATAAAAAAAGTCGAATGCAGATGTCTCAAAATTATCAGCATCAACATCTGCATCAACACTACATGAGTAACAAAAATAGAACAAAATACATGAACAACAAAAAAAAAGAACGAATACAGAAACAATAAATATAGAATAAATACATGAGCAATCAATACCCGGGTCTATCAAAACGGGTACCCGTTACGGGGTCGTTTTCGGACAGTAAACGATGAAAAAATGGCTAGTTTACGGCCGTAAATAGTCCGTATTACTCCGTATGAGTGGATGCAGTAATACGGCACCGTATACGGTGAAAAAGTCACTGTAGTACGGTCCGTAAAACTGCATCCACTCATACGACCGTAATACGGTCCGTAAAGTAACCGTATCGTCCGACCTGGGTATAGAATAAATACATTAGCAAGATATATAGAATATATATATGAGCAGCAAAAATTTATGAAAACAAAATGTTAATGATACTTTCTCGAGAAGGTTTGGTAATTGAAATTAACATTCGAATAATTTCACCAATTAGACCACGTTTGACCTTATGACGAGGAACCATTGAACGTTTGTTGTTAAATACATGACGTAATTGTAAATGCGAAAAGGGATGTGCCGAGCGGGGGGGGGGGGAGGGGATCCGGACCCCTCCACTTTTAGATAATTTTCGTTTTTTACAGCTAAAATCGTAGTTTTTCTTAAAAAAAGATCTCAAAAAGAAGGGAAAATGTTAAAAAAGGCTCCGGACCCCCTCCCCCGCCCCCTCCCCAGTTTTTTTCTTCGGCACATCCCTGAATGTGAACCATCTCGAATACATTCGAAGTCCAATCGTTCAATTATAAGTTTAGCCAAATGACAGGCAGAAATTTCAGCTGGAACGTGTACCCAGATCCAACACTCACGGTCGTAAACGATCGTTCACGGACATATAGGGCAAGAAACGCAAATCGTAAACGAGCTCCGTTTACGATAATTGTCTACGATGGATAACGGCGAGAAACGGATTCCGTATACGGAGATCGTGAAAAAATACAGAGTACTAGAGGCACAAAGTCATATACTCCGTATACGGAATTATACGACCACTGTCTACGGTCCTGTGTCATCGTGTGCGGTCGTATACGATCGTTTATGATCGTCGTGTGGAATGCAATCTTTTTTATTGTTATTTTCATAAAAAAATCCTCTTATGAGAAATATAGTGCATCTTTAGTCAATATGCAGACTTCTACTCATCAAACAGGCGTCACAAAATAGGTTAATTGTTTTTATAAAATGCTAGATTTCGGAAAGAGTGCATGTTATTTTTTTCTTTTTCATTCTGCCAGCCATTGTACATATTACGAGAAGAACGCAAGAGAGATATACTCGATGAACGGGAGGAGAGAATTATGCCTATACATTCTCCCTAGATAGAGTAAAGGAGATATAGTGACGACGAAAAGGAAAGAAAAAAAAATATATATATATACGTTGTTATTGTCACTTCGTTCATTTATTTATCTTATCACTTTACGACTAAGACGATAATGCGTACTAGCCTATTAGCGTAGCACCTGTGTATACCGCAACGTTAAATCAATCTTATAATTTCTCTCGCATTTCAAGAAACATTATAAATCACTTGAAGCTACAACAATTTTGTACATGTAATAAATTTCAATTTTATTCATTAATAATATATTTATTTTTAAATATTTCATCGTTTGTTTTCTATTTCATTTTTAGATGATATTATGAGAAAAAAGATTTGATGGAATACAATGTCCTGTCTTCACTTGCATTATGTAAACAAAAACGTCGAGGACGTTTAAATGAAAAAAATAGTAAAAGACGTGCGTTTACAAATATTCGGCGTAATCTTCTTGATACAACACATTCTGAAGTGTGTGCTGTGTCGTCGAACACATTAAATACACTGGTTGACAATAGTTTTAAAAATTTATCATGTTCGAATTCAAATTATGTGAATTCCAATCATTGTCAAATTTATAAATTACAAAATTTACATTCATTTGATAATATGCCTGAATTGTCTTTTAAAGAAACAGCATCGAATGACATACCCGAATTGTCTTTTAAAGAAACAGCATCGAATGACATACCCGAATTGTCTTTTAATGAAACAGCATCTGATAATATAAGTGAAGTGAGTATTGATGAACAAGAAAATAATGAATCAGATGAATATTTTGATCTTTCTACGTTTTTCAATCATCCTGATATATCATTTCATGATTCAACGAATGTTACGAAGGCTGAATACTGTAGAAATTTACTTACTTTATTTCGTGATGCAAATGTTTGTAAGACACATTGTGATAGATTCATTCGACTTATATATTCTGGTTTACCAACACCAAACAATCTGCCAAAGTCAATGAAAAATCTCTTGAACGATATTCAAGGTAAAATTGAAAGAACAGAAAATATTTTAAGTTTTAGAAAGAAAATGAAACATGAATGATTTTCTTTATCTGAAAAAAGACAGCTCTAGTTGAACATTTATTCTTAAATGAAATATAAAATACGATGAACACATTCTTAAAAAGTAGACGAAGAACATTGCTTCCTTTTCTAAAGAGTATCGAAACTGAAACATAATGAGAGAAAAAAAAGATGAAATAACAAAGTGTTGATTTTCGTATAAAAAGACATTTTATATTGATAAAAAGCGCAAGAAAGAAAGTAAACTAAAATTTAGCCCAAAATTCTAGTTTATGATTTGTTTTAGAAGAAAAGGACAAAATGAAAACAGTGTAAATTCGTTGCCTTTTATTGATTCAATCTTATGTACTTTTTGATGAGACAGGTACTGTTACTCAATAGTTTCTATCTACTATGTCTAAATTAGATTCATTCAAATATGAAACTAATTTCTTGAGAATTTTATATCCTAAACTTTTAGGTCTTCACAAATCGTTTTTCATTTTCATTTATTTACAATCAAACAGATAAGAAGAGTCCAATGAGACAACTTCAAATATGATGCTTTTAATTGAAACACTAACTTGCTTTATGGTGCACTAAGTCAACTTCAGTCAGAATAGTTGAATGTGGTAAAAATCGAAAACGCAATGTTATTGTCATGAATTTTCATGCTAATAGAAGTACTAACTTTTAGTAATTCAAATGTCAATATTAAGCGACTATAGACAATAATGGAATTTGGAGCTGCATTTTTTAAGGTCTGTTTTCTTCGTGAAATATTTTCTTTTCTCTTTTCACAAAGTATGTTCGAACAGACCTCAACTGTTTTACATGCATAAAAGTAACTTTGACTTGCTTTTATAGAATAAAAGACTCGATTTTCTAATGCAAATTTGTTTGAGAAGATTAGTGCCGGTTTGATTTTTGTGAACAAAAATTTGTTCATTTTTCTAATCAGTTTCTTTCGATCAAACATGATGTTTTAATTTCTCCTAGCGAATTATTTTTGAGTATTTTTTGAACAAAGATGAAGCTGAACCCTATCATGATGAATGAGAAATTCTGTTTTGAAATTATATTTCTTACATATTTGAAGAAAGGAATATTGAGCTCTATCGCATATTACTTCTGTTGTTAGAAACAACTGAGGCCTATATAGATTTGTAGCATTCGTCGCAAGAACTTGTAGACAGAAAGAAAAAAATTAAAAGATTAAAATGTTCTTGATTTTTTTTAGTTGAAGACTTGTTTGTGAAGCGATCAATTTGTACAAATTTTCATCAAGATCTAAATTATCATAACGACAACGTTAGATGTACTTTAACAGAAGAAAAATTTCGTGCTGATATTTATGATATCGATGCTAAAATAGCATTTTCTCATTTGATTAATCGTTTATTTCCTGAAATTACCCAGTACAAACAAGAAATTGCATTACAATCATTGAGTGAATTCAATGATATTCCATTATATCAAACCATCGAAAAAACTTTTCTAAAAGTCTAATGCATAAGATTCGTATCGTTAGAAAGAGCGCAAAAAACTGAGTATTACCCTAGAATATGAGCGCGGGGTATAGTGTAGTCCCAAGCAAAATTTTTTAAAACAAAATTCCCTGCAAGAAAAACTTTTTTGTTTCTTCTTCAGTTTTTTCTTTCGTTATGTCATACGCGTATACACACACACATATATATATATATGAATGACAGAACGAAAAGAAAAAATTTCTATGTATGTTCAGAAGAGTGCATAATGTTCTTCACGATGATAATTCATAATTGAAATATTATTTAAAGATTTAATTATATAATAAAAATTTCATAAATTCTGAGCATTAAATTAGTTTTGAAATTTCATGATTTATTAAACGAATAAAATATTTTTTGTTCTCTAAAACGTTGTTGTGCTTAATTTATATTGCAAAATCTTTTTTTTATTAAATTAGCATATTCGGATTCAGCGTGGTCAATTACCCCCATCTATGTTGAGATCTCGAAAGAGTACCTCTGATCATAAGTCAAAAATATTTTAAAAAAAATTCTATGGAAAAACACGTAGAGAACAAAAAAACATAACTGGTTCGCACTGGATTCGAACCAGCAACGCGTTATCCCACGCTCTTTAGCCATTTATCGATATGCGAATTATTCTTATCTGTTCTGCCTTGTTTATCGTTCTTGTTTTTTTAATCATGGTTAATTCTGTAGAGTCAATATTCAAATATAATATCATCACCTTTCATCATAAGACAAATTCTTTTTTGACTCACAAATGTATTTCATTAAATCAAATTTTTCAACATGTGAATGTCTATTGATGTCAAGAAAAAATCAATATCTTAATTATGAATAATAATTAGATTTTTAGTCTTTTATGTTGATTCTGCTTTTTCGAAAAAATTCGACACAAGAAAAAAAATTCATATTTTTTTCACTAATTTTTATATGGGATAGAACAGATATTTTTGAGTAGACGTCATATAATTTTTCATGAATTACTAAATTTTCTTCATGTCGATGATTGATCATGAGAAATTCTAGCTTATTTTATAAATTGTTATTTTCTGTTTTCTATATCTTGTTGACAAATGTATATATACTCGATACTTCGATGAGTACTGAGGTGTCGAAATATATACGACGAGTCAAAAATGAGTCGTCGATAGGATACAGTGTTTGGGTGCTCAAAATTCGATGGGTGTCGAGAGGATCGAAATTGAAGCAGAACGAACAAAATATATATGTATCAAATTTTCGACCGCTTCTCGCACCCGTCGTATGCTTTTATTGGCCTGCTTGGGCCCATGATTTGTATAAAGAAGACGTGATTTTTTTTCCAAAATTCAGTTTAAAATGAAAAAGACCATAGACTCGGACTTGGAAACTTTCTTCAGAGGGAAACTTAGACTCTTGGTAACTTCATGGAAGTCTACTAGTACCTAAGTGCCATAGTTTTCACGCCGTAACGAAAGTCCTCAAGTCCCTTCGTTTCAATTTGAAATCGAGTGTCTTTTGTTTCATCTCAAATTCAGATTGAAATCAAATAGACCGTTGTATAGAATGAATGAAAATAATATTATCTTTCAAGTATTTGTATAAGTTTTTCAGGCAAGAATCGTGTGGTGCGTCAGTCATAAAAAAATAATGTTTTAGCTTTAACAAATATTGACTTTTGCTCGGTGTCTTTTATTCATTTCATCTTCGATCATATACAATAAAACATCTTTTTATTACTTGTGTGAGTATTAAATACTTTTTGTTTCGTTTTCCTTTATTATTCGTTACTTATGATCCCAATATGCTATGAGACAAGATCCGGATTTATTTTTGTGTAATCATCTTGATCTTTAAATACATTGAATCTGCAAAAATTCACGAATAGAACAGAAAAATAACGCGTGTGCCAGAATAAATGGTCCTCTCAATATTTTAGCATTAATTTCTATTCCTTTCAAAGAAAATACATATATAATTTTTTTATGAAACGATGCACCGTGAAATTCTTTAAAAAACAGCCTATTTCAAATTCACTCATTAGCTTTCATCATATCTTAAAATGAAATGGATTTGCTTGACAAAACGATGGGTGTGGGTGTGGGTGTGCGCAAGAATAATGTACACGTCCACGTCCACATCCACATCCACATCCACACCCACACCCACACCCACACACCCACACCCACACACCCACACCCAGACCCAGACCCAGACCACACCCACACCCACCCACACCCACATCCACACCCCTAGGATTCCACCGGATTCCATTGGATTCCATCGGCTTTCCATTCGATTCCATCGGATTCCATTCGATTCCATCGGATTCCATTGGATTCCATCGAATTCCATCAGATTTCATCGGATTCTATTGGACTCCATCGGATTCCATTGGATTCCATGATTCCGTGAGATTCCGTAATATTCCACCGGATTCCAGGATTCCGTTTTTTCCCCTTGCACCACCCACACCCAAACCCAAACCCACGCCCACGCCCACACCCACTCCACCCACACCCACACCCACACCCACACTCACACTCACACCCACACTCACACTCACACTCCCACCCACAATCCACACCCACACCCACACCCACAATCCACACCCACACCCACACCCACAATCCACATCCACACCCACACCCACACATCCACACCCACACGCCACATCCCCACTCCCACACGCGCACACCCCACATCCCCACTCCCACACCCATACCCGACACCAACCCAAACCCAGTTGTGCCTTCTGTCATAAATGTGTTCTCTCACATTTTCCTTCGATGCAATTCTCTCATGTTTATAATCATTACTTTCTTTCTCTCGTGTCTGACACATGTAAACAACCGCTACTGTTAAGAAAAGGTTGTTTTTTGTGTCTAAAAGAAGAAAAGGAGAAAAATAATGAAGGAGAATGAGAGAAAAAAGTGAAGGAGAAGGCCACATAACAGTTAGGCTGCCACAAGGGGGAAAAAGCGGATCCTCGGATCCTTGAATCCTTTGGATCCTTGAATTCTTTGGATCCTTGGATCCTTTGGATCCTTGGATCCTTTGGATCCTTGGATCCTTTGGATCCTTGGATCCTTGGATTCTTTGGATCCTCCGGATCCTGTTGGATCATCCGGATCATTTTGGATCCAACAGGACCCAGAGGATCCAAAGGATCGGAGGATCCGCTTTTTCCCCCTTGGGTTGCCATTTAACATTTGTTTTACGCAAAATCGACAAGAAAGCCTTCATGCAAATAACAGAAGGTAAGATTATTCCTACAATAGAAAAGCAGTGTTTACTCCGACCTCTTCGGTTAAATATGTTGAATGCAAAGGCCGAAACGATATACCAACGTACGGACAAGGTTGATATTGGTACGTCAGTTCGGCTCAAGCTCGGAATCTATTCCTAACTGGGTGTGGGTGTGAGTGGGGTGTGGGTGTGGGGTGTGGGGTGGGGGGAGGGGGGGGGGTGGGGGGGAGGGGGGGGGGGGGTGGGGGTGTGGGCATGGGTGTGAGTTAAGAGAGGGACTAGAAGGATGCTCAGACCCAGACCCAGACCCAGACCCACACTCACACCCACACACCGACACCCACACCCACACTCACACCCACACCCAAACCCACAGCCACACACCAGCACCCACACCGACATCCACACCCACACCCAACCCACCCACATCCACACCCCACACGCACACCCACCCACATCCACACCTCACACCTTCCCCACACCCACCCACACCCACACCCGCGCTCTACACCCACACCCACACCGAAGGGAATTGGTCGAGAAATTGAACGAAGCAGCTCTTATACTGTTTTATCTAATTAAATCTCTTTTGTACATTCATTATGATTGGGGCTATATAATTCGGGCTTTCCTGCTCAAGGATCATATGCTGAAGTTTTATACACCTGGCATTTTGATCTCATGGATTTAACGCGGCACCGAATTAGTTGTGCAAGCCAAATATTCGGTTGCATTTATATTCCAGGATCAAAGGAGTGTACTCAGCTGATCGATGTTAGATAGACACAAGTTCCACAATAGCTTGAAAGTCCAGTATTGAGCGGAAAGTAGAAAGAAGGAGTGTTTTAAGTAGGCATTTAAAGTGCTGCTGTTTTCGTCGAAACGTATTCATTATTGTCTGCTCTTTCGCGGAATGTGTGCATCCCGATAAGTGTTGAAATAATCAGCGTGGAAGCTGTTTTTTTTCCGTTCGCTTCATTTTTTTTTGAATAAGTGGCAGATTGAAATACATGCTCGGCGCTGAGTGTAGCGGTGAGAGAGCGTTTTGTGTGACCATGCACTGGAATCAAAAATCTAAGCTTCTAGGTTGCGCTTTGATATAGTTTTCGCTTCACGGTATTGTTGAGCAAACTAATTTTGAGACAAAGAACTATCTATAATGCCTTCCAATAAGTTATCGCCATGTCTTCTATCTTGAAATATGAGTCTGTTATTATATAAATGAGCGGTAAGGAACAGAAGTCGTCTACCAACCTTACACTTAGAGTCATCAAACTGTAGTTTACAGAACTGTTCTCATCTTACTCTTGATCGGAAGGTCTGGCAACTATACATACAAAGAGTATGCCAAAATTATAGAACCTCTGCATGCATTCGTGTATAACCTTTCATTTTATTTTCAAAAAATAATTTTGTTGCTGTGTAGAATACATGATAACATAAGCAAAGTGTCTAGTATTTCTTCCTATCAAGCATGGCTTCATTAGTGCCTTTACCTTTATGAGTTTTTCGAAAAACAAAAGAAATACTTTAAGAAGAATTTGAAATACTTTATGAAAGCACGAAAACGTATAAGACTATGCATTGGTCCACGCAATTATCGTTTTAGATGTTGTTATAGGACGATAGAGTTCACCACGGTAAATAGCTTAACATCTTTGTGTTATTTGAGTAACTTTTTATTATGATAGCATAAGATATTTTTCGCGTTGCAATAGCTGCTGACTCTCGGATATGGGTGTGGAGTATGTGCGACTTCCTAAATGAAAAGACTCAGTCATACGATCCCTTGACTCCATATTGTTCAAAGCCAGTGCTGTCTTTTCAGTTTCTAAGATTTTCTATTTCAGATCGATTTCAATTGATATGCCAAAAAAGGAAACGCATGGAAGAGAAGTTGCAGAAATCATCAAAGATTTACAATTATTTAATCCGAAAAGCGTGTCAGCAAGTCATCGATTGGCTCATGACTGCTATATGATATTAGTGGGTTATGTAAACGACGATGATGCTTTAGAGAAACTTGGGGATATGATCGAGTCTAGAGAAGAATCGAACGAAAATCAATTTGAAGCTGCAGCTAGTATCTCAATAATGGAATGTGAAGAAGTGGAGTTTATACTTGAGCATATGGAGTTACATTATCAAACTGAAGATCTCAGTGATGCTCGCACCGATCATTTCGTCTATGAAGATAATTTCAATCCAACACTTTTCGGTCTTGTGGAAAAAAACTCATCATTCGGAAAACTGAGATCACTTTGCTATCGTTACGAAACAAAGCCGAATATTAATGTGGAAAAAGTAATGGCAAAGCATGATGCACGCGTTGCTAATTCAACTCCGATTTTCCAACAAAAAGGTGTATCGAAAGATGAAGCTCAAGCATTATCATTAGCACTTTCATTCTACACTGGCACCGAAAGTGAAACGATCAGTCGCGGTGCAAGCCTCATGGCTAGACGTGCCAACGGAGTTGCAATCGAACCGAAAGTAGTAGAGGAATTGAATGAAGCGGCTCTTATACTGTTTTATCTAGTTAAATCTCTTTCATACATTCCTTATTATTGGGGCTATGTGACTCGAGCTTGCGAACTGAAGGATCACGAGCTGAAGCTTTATACACCTGGCAATCTGATCACATGGATCCAATTCAGCAGTTCTAAGAAAGGTAAAGAAGTATCTGAAGGTGGTTTCGAACATCGAAACACATTTTTCAAAATCTATTCGTTAACTGGTCGGCCCATTCGAGAGTTTTCCAATTTTCCAAAAGAAGATGAAGTTTTATTCTTACCACATTCCACATTTCTTGTCTTCAAGCATGCGACTTCCTTTCATGGAACCCAACACACGATTTACATGCGTCAAATTGAATTGGGTCTATCGAAATGGTCAGTACTATGGGTTGACGACAGAATATTCAATGAGAACTGGGAAAATAAAAAACATATGGAATATGCATCAACTCAAGCACTCAACATGAATGTACATTTTATTCCTAAATCTACGACAGAGAATGCGCTATCCTTTCTTAGATCACCATTCGGACAACGCTTGAAAAACAAAGAGACATTTCGTATTGTCACCGATATGAACCGTGAAAATGAATATCCAATTCATAATGCCGGTGCACGATTGATCAAAGCACTACGACGAATGGGCTTCAATAATGAATGTATGGTTTTCACCAGCGATCAGGAAAACGCAGAAAAAATTCTGAAATCAGAATTAAATTCCAGAGAACACCAATTTGTTAGAGTGTCTGCTAGAACCCAAGAACTGCGGAATTTCGTCTATTTTGACCGAACACCAACACACACACAACAGTTCGATTTTCAAACGTCAAACAAACCCAAAGTCTACCCAAAGTCGACGAATTCTAGTAAGTGGAAAATATTCATTAATTTCAGAAAAATGAAGCGATTCTCAGAGAATATAACAGTTTCAGGTTTTCATAATACTTCTTTATCATTTGTTTAATGCTCATCAAAACTTTAAAAAAGTATTGATTGTAAAATCAAAAAATAGTTGAGTGTAGGTGATGGTTGGTAATTACATCTACACAGATACTCACACCCCATCGCATCCAAATAGCGAGAAGCTCAACATTAGTGAAATGAAACTCCCATATCATTACTGTAATGATTAAAAGGAAGATATGAGTAATCAAGTGCGTGACTCAAATATTACAGCTCGAAAGTAATGAAAAATGGCTCAGATTGGTATACCTAGAAGTTCAGTCCGGTCTAAGAGATTAAACCACTAACGGCGCTACTGAGGAAAAATACGTGCCAGTTACTATTCTAGGACTGAGAATAAAAGCAATCCGAAAGAACACGATGCAAATAAATATCGATGTGTATGAATGTTTATGTATAAAAGTTTTCAACGTACAAATAACATTTCTTCTCTGAAAATTCGCGTTGAAATGCAATTTCATACGAAATTATTTTTCACAGGAAGTATCTTTTTCGATTTCTATCTTTGTGAAACCTTCCTTATTTCGTCTTCTTTAATTATGATAGAAAGCTATACACACTCTTCTGAACCAACCAACGTCAACGAGGAAGTGTATCAAGGTGCAACTGGTTTTCAGAGTTTTAATACTTCTGTCAATATGAACGCCCAGATGATGCATAATTCGATAAATACAGATATCCACATACTAATAAGAAATTGTAAAATGCGAAATTTGATCAATAACCGTTACAAGTAAGCACTAGCATGAAGTACATTTATGTGGCTCACAAAAAGCCATATCATCGGATATCATTCTGTAAAAGTTTTCCTTCTACTCCACTTAATATTTTATCTGAAATATCTTTTCAATTCAAACAGAAATCACATTTTTTGTTTTCAAGTGCGTCAGCCATTTTCAATTGCCCATTCTGATTAGCGATCTTCAGTAAACATATATATAGTGAAATGTAAAGACAAAATGTTGAAAGTATAGAATAAGCATAGTCGTTATATGTCTACTACATTATACTATAATATACGCTTATGCTCTGGACGCAACAACATAGATAAAATTATAAACGTATTGCTTTGTATGAAAAATTTCTGATCTTTCCTTAATAAAATGCATGTTTAACACTCAATTTTGATGTTTTATTGATTCTATGTAGTTGTGTTTTGCTTACGACTGGCTCATTCAATCCTATTCATACAGCACATTTACGAAATCTGCTATCTGCGAAAAAATATCTTGAGCAAGAGCATCAACCTCCTTGGAACGTTCTTGCCGGATATATCTCACCAACGCAGTATGTAATCTCCAATATGTTTTTCCTTCATATCTATATATCTATATATATGACAACTTTTTATTAAAGCGATAGCTATGTGCATAAAAAATTGGGTGACCCTGCATGGATTCCATCTGAAGACCGGTGTCAACTCTGCGAAGGAGCTATTACACATGAAGGCCCAGAAATGTCATCCTGGATTAGCGTTTCTCGAGGCGAAAGTGAATGGTCAGCTGGATTTGTTGATTTTGGCCCTGTCGCTGAAAATTTTCGTGATTTTCTTAATAGCACATTAGTCGATCAACAAAATATTCTCAAATACCCATTATGTGTAGTATACATTTGTGGGTTAGACCACTTTAACAAATGTTCTTACGTTGAAAACATGGCTAAAACAAAGAACATGGCCTGTGCTATTGTCTATCGTGTGGGATACGATGAAAAGCAAATTAGTCGCACAATTCAAAAATCCAGTTGTATCTATATTCCATTATCAAACGAGCGCACCAAACTCGTCGATGTCAGCTCAACAGAAATTCGGGAATACTATCAACACCCAAGCGCTAGTAACTCCAAAATTAAGCGATTTATTTATCCCAATGTTCAACAATACATGAGCAAAAAATATGGAAAAAAATGACGTACGACTTTAGTTAGGGTGTGGGTGTAGGTGTGCATGTGGGTGTGGTTGTTAGAGTTTGTTAGCATCAATACCCGCACTCGAACATACGCCCCCGCTCACACCCACACCCATACCGACCCCAAGTGATTATTTAGCTGTGATTATTGAACTTGAAATTCTCAAATCATATTAGAAGCTTCTTTTAAATAAACTGCATTGTCTTCTTCAAATCCCAAACCTTTCTTTTTCAAATGTAAATAGTAACTAAGGATTTTAGTCATGACGCAATAATAGGGTGTGGGTGTGGTTGTGAGTGTGGGTGTGGGTGGGGGGGGGGGGGGTGTGGGTGCGGGTGCGGGGTGTGGGTGTCGGTGTCGGTGTGGGTGTGGGTGTGGGTATGGGCGTGGGGTGTAGATGTGAGTGTGGGGTGTGGGTGGGTCAAAAAAAGTGAGCTCCAAACTGCGTAAACTCCAAATTTGGAGCTCACTTACGCATCGACGTTTTACTCATTGACCTCACTTCAGCTCATACAGTTCAGGGTCAAGACAAATACCTCGGAACCGTGTAAACTCCAAATTTTGAATTCCCTTAAAGAACCACCTGGGATGCGAGTTGCATTGCCTGAGATGCTCGTAGCATTGCCTGGGATGCTAGTAGCATTGCCGGGGTGCTAGTAGCATTACATGGGAAGCTAGTAGCACTACCTGGGATGCTAGCAGCATTACCTGCGATACTAATGTCCGTTTCAAAATATAATGCGTCCCACTGTTTTTTGGATAACTCGAGAACGCAATCAGCTAGAGATCTGCGGTTTTCACCAATCGAAAGAAGAGACAGGGGGACGTCTTTTTCTTCAATATTGTATCCGACAAAATCATTTCAGAATCAGTCATTTCTGCAAAACATTGCAAAAAATGCATGAAAACGACCTGGCATCTTGAACAAAAATTTTCCTTTTGACGTATGATCTAGATAGAGGGGCTTCGGATCTATACTTAAGAATATAATTCGAAGGATTATCTTACCGCATCCTAACATTTAGCAAATAAAATCGTCTATTTACTCGCAAGAAAAGTATGAATTTCTTTTAATTTTGAAGCAAATTTTTTTACTTTTTTGCCAAAATTTCATCTGAATGACACACCATTTTTTCGATGTTATGCAGAAATGACTGGTTTCAAAATGATTCCGTCTGATACGATATTGGAGAAAAAGACGCCCCCTGTCTCTTCTTTCGATTGGTGAAAACCGGAGGTCTCTAGCTAATTGTGTTCTTGAGTTATTCAAAAAACAGTCGGACGCATTATATTTTGAAACGGACATTAGTAGCATTACCTGGGAGGCTAGTAACATTACCTGGAATGCTAGTAGCATTACATAGGATGATAGTAGCATTACTTGCGATGCTACTAGCATCCCAGATGATGCTACTAGCATCCCAGATGATGCTACTAGCATCCCAGATGATGCTACTAGCATCCCAGATGATGCTACTAGCATCCCAGATGATGCTACTAGCA